CAATGACCTGAAAACTCACCCCTTGGTGGTGTTGGTTTCTGATAACGGAGAACCCTCCCTGTCAGCTACTGTCTCTATTGATGTGGTGGTGGTTGAAAGCACAGCTGACATCCAGACTCAGTTCAGACATGTGCCCACAAAGGAGGAGAGCTTCTCTGATTTCAACCTGTATCTGCTGATTGCCATTGTGTCGGTGTCAGTGATCTTTCTGCTGAGCCTCATCAGTTTAATAGCTGTCAAATGCCACAGGACAGACGGCAGTTTCAGCAGGTACAGCGCCCCAATGATCACCACCCACCCTGACGGGAGCTGGTCTTACTCTAAATCTACTCAGCAGTACGACGTGTGTTTCAGCTCAGACACAATGAAGAGTGACGTAGTGGTTTACCCCGGACCGTTTCCGCCTGTAGATGGTGAACTGATCAGTATTAACGGAGGAGACACTTTTACCAGAACTCAGACTTTACCCAACAATGACAAGGTAAGAAATGAAATACATAAAAGCGTTGCTGCACCTGCACATGTTCTGTTTATAGAGAAAATTGTGACAACAGTGACAAGGTAAGATTATACAAACTCATGTATTGTTCTTATTATTGTTAAAAGGTATAGTTGACTACGACAATACATGTACTTATTCAAGCTGCTTAAATACGTGTAATCACGTAAAACCTTATTGTATTTTATAAAGACTTCACAAGGTCCGGCATTGTATCATCATACTTTAGACATTGTGCATCTAATTACATACTAACATTTTAAAATATCGCTGTTCTTGCATTGATTATATTGTCTCAACTTTAACATATAAGAAGTAAAGTATAGTACACTATATGTTTTGTTGACTTGCAAATCCTTTAGTCCAAACATTATTTAGGCATTAAACCTGCCTAACCTCGAGTATGCTTTGATAACCGGTTGCATCAGCATAATGATGCTCTGTCCGTGGATCTGAAATATGTGTGGATTGCATTATAGGGCCTGGCAGTACACAGCAAGGGAGATGTCCTGTTTGTCGTTTATCACTGAAAGAAATAATTGTAATTATGGAAAAGGCTATGTTTGTGTTTATTTTTAATGCATTGTAGTTATTTCAAATGGCCACGAGGCGACACCATAGACCGTAACACCAACCCAGGTTGCTGACGTATAGAAATCCCTCCCACATTAAAAAGATCCATGTATTGTCCGTGCTTTGTTAGAATGAGACGCAGGGCGAAAGCGGTTGAAGATAGCACATTTGCTCACATATAGTTCTGTCATACAAACGGTATTTTGGACTTAATACGCGAAAGGCACGTCGATAGGGATCCATGCTTTGTTCTCGTTGGAATTATGCATCTGCCGGGAAGGAAGACCACCATCGGGATATATATAGTCTTTCTTGTCTTGGAGTATAACTGGGGAGAGGTATCCGGACAGCTCTCCTATTCTGTTTCAGAGGAGGTAAACCTTGGGGCTTCTGTTGGAAATATCGCCAAGGATTTAAATCTTAATGTACAGGATTTGGAGTCACGTATGTTTCAGGTTGTTGCTGGTTCTAAGAAAAAGTATTTCGATGTAAATTTGAAATCAGGTTTTCTCTACGTCAATGAAAGAATAGATAGGGAGGAGCTCTGTGCGAAAGCTGCAAAATGCACAATTAATGTAGAGGCTGTGATTAATAATCCACTAAAACTATACCGTATTGAAGTTAATATCCTCGACGTTAATGATAACCCCCCGTCTTTCACTGCCAAAACACAGACTATCGACATCGCAGAGAGCATATTGCCGGGTGCTACATTCCCTGTACTGTCGGCATACGATGCCGATGTTGGGAAAAATAGTATTAACACATACAAGTTAAATTCTAATGAATATTTCTCTTTAGCGATGCACAAAGGTGAGCGCGTGTCGGCCGAGTTAGTTCTGCAAAAAGCCTTAGACCGAGAAAAACAGGCTTTAATTAAACTTACACTGACCGCTGTAGATGGAGGGACACCCCCAAAATCAGGTACATCGGAAATAATAATTAATGTTTTGGATAACAATGATAACATCCCAACATTTACAAACACATTATACAAAACGAGAATTACAGAAAATGCTGCACGTGGCACAACAGTCTTAACAGTGACTGCAACTGACGCTGACGAGGGGCAAAACAAAGAGATTGTATATTTATTAAATTCAAAAGATCAGGATCATGTTTTGGATATTTTTGAAATTGATTCAGATACAGGAATAATAACCGTTAAAGGAGAAATTGACTTTGAAACAAATCCTGCCTTTGAAATTCGTGTGCAGGCTGCTGACAGAGGCCAGCCTCCTTCAACAGCACAGTGTAAAGTACTAGTGGAGGTGGTGGACCTGAATGACAATGCGCCTGACATCACGGTGACGTCACTGCTCAGTACAGTGAAGGAGGACGCGGAAATTGGCACCGCCATTGCACTGGTTTCAGTTATTGACAGAGATGGGGGCAAAAACGGTGAAGTCAAATGTGAGATATTAAATTCAGTTCCCTTTAAATTAGAGACAAATTATAGAAATTATTATTCCGTAGTCATTGGTGGAGCATTAGACAGGGAACGTATGTCCCACTACAATATCACTATCAAAGCTACGGATGAAGGTAGGCCCCCTCTCTCTGCTACCAGTGTGGTTATTATTCAGGTATCTGATGTAAATGACAACAAACCAGTGTTTTCAGAGACTGTGATTAATATTTATGTGGAAGAAAACAGTCCAGTTGGGACGATTTTGAAAGCAGTATCTGCAACTGATGCTGACGTTGGTGAAAATGGTCGGGTGAGCTATTCATTAGTTACCAATAATAATTTAGCACTATTAAGTACAATGTTGAACATCAACTCAGAGACTGGAGATATAGTCAGCCTGCAGTCTTTTAACTATGAGGAGTTAAACACGTTTCAGTTTAAAGTCCAGGCCACAGACTCTGGTGTTCCTCCTCTTAGCAGCAACGTGACTGTGAACGTTTTAATTCTGGATGAAAATGACAATAATCCAACAATTCTCGCGCCCTATTCTGAGCATGGCTCCGTTAACAGTGAGAGCATCCCCTATTCTGCTGAGGCGGGATACTTTGTGGCAAAGATCAGGGCTGTAGACGCAGACTCTGGATACAATGCGCTGCTTTCGTATCACCTCTCTGAGCCCAAAGGAAACAACCTCTTCCGGATCGGAACAAGTAGCGGAGAAATCAGGACTAAGAGGAGAATGAGTGACAATGACCTGAAAACTCACCCCTTGGTGGTGTTGGTTTCTGATAACGGAGAGCCCTCCCTCTCAGCTACTGTCTCTATTGATGTGGTGGTGGTTGAAAGCACAGCCGACATCCAGACTCAGTTCAGACATGTGCCCATAAAGGAGGAGAGCTTCTCTGATTTCAACCTGTATCTGCTGATCGCCATTGTGTCGGTGTCAGTGATCTTTCTGCTGAGCCTCATCAGTTTAATAGCTGTCAAATGCCACAGGACAGACGGCAGTTTCAGCAGGTACAGCGCCCCAATGATCACCACCCACCCTGACGGGAGCTGGTCTTACTCTAAATCTACTCAGCAGTACGACGTGTGTTTCAGCTCAGACACAATGAAGAGTGACGTAGTGGTTTTCCCCGGACCGTTTCCGCCTGTAGATGGTGAACTGATCAGTATTAACGGAGGGGACACTTTTACTAGAACTCAGACTTTACCCAACACAGACAAGGTAAGCACATCGGCCTTAAGTACTTCTTATTAGAGCTCTTCATTTTTGTTGATCAACAATACAGTTATACTTGTTACTATAATTAAGGGCGTTGTGCTATACTTAACAGCAGTTAAGTTTGGGTTAATTTGAAACTCATCGAGGTTGTTCTCATGTGATGATATATGCTGTTAATGTTCAACTCCCCCCCCCACCTTTGGCTGCTAACTCTGTGTGTAGCTAGCCGTGGTGCTGAACGCACATTCCTGAATGTATTCTGCTTGACATATATAGAACAATCACTATAAAGTTACGTTCCCATATATAAATTGAGAGGTTTTCATTTGAGCTGTATATTTTAAGGGTAAAGCTTGATGTTAAACATAGATAGTGAAAAGAAAAGTGGATCATCTGGATATTTGCATTACATTGTTTTCAATTTACACATTCCAATGTGTTTAAAAAAAAAATAAGGCCAGCATATGATTATTACTCAAAATCAAACTTAACAAATATTTTTGGACTTTTTTATTTTCTTTTAAAATCAACTTTTCTAAGTTGTCACTGGTGATTTCATCTTTTATCATTTCTTCTATTATTGTATTTGTTAAAGTGTGACTTTGGCAATTAATTGTTGATAGGCCTACCTAACAGATACAAATAGAAATCCCTTACTGCCATTTATAAGTTCAGGTTTTCTACTGCAAATTCAAACCTTTGACTAATATAGTGCTAACATAAAACAGACACATGTCCTTAAAGCCTAAATTCTCCATTTCAAATTTAAATAAATTGTGTTTACTGTTACGCAAACGTATTCACGACGTAGTATTATATTTTCCTCACATTAAATAAAGCAAAGTCTCAGTACATTCTTTACCACAATAACTTTACAAATGCATGGTTCTGTAAAAACTGTGACGTCAAAAAATGTTAAGTTGATTGGGTTTCTTAATTTCCCCAAATGTGTGCAATACAAGACTGGTAGTAGTTACGTTGTTGTTGGCGTTTCTCATAAATGATGGGTACTTCAGTTGTTTAAAGCGTGTGCAGTTAATCAAAGTGACCACACAGTGACGCCATAGACCGTAACACAGAATTGTTGATGCTCCTCCCAGAGTAAAAACGGAATGACTGTGGATTTTCACCACAAAGAGAAACGGGAAGGGAAGGGGAAACATAATGGAGTCTTCTTCTATAGCCTACTAATACAAGTATCGTAGTGTGTTTGTTAAAACCTTGTCCCAGCTCAGTGGTTCACGGAAGAAACGACATCTTGGATATATGCTTTGTTTTATTTCGGCGGAATTATGTCTTCACCGAGTAGGAGGTATTTTGTTACATATCTGGTGCTGGTGCTGTTGGATTGTTACTGGGAAGCGGTGTCTGGGCAGCTCTCATACTCAGTAGCAGAGGAGGTAAACCCTGGAACTCACGTCGGAAATATCGCAAAGGATCTAAACCTCAATGCGCAGGATTTGGAGTCCCGTTTGTTTCAGATTGTTAAAGGATCTAAGAGGAAATACTTCGAGGTAAATCTGAAGACTGGATTTCTGTATGTTAATGAAAGAATAGACCGAGAGGAGCTTTGTGCAGATGAACCGAAATGCACTGTAAGTGTAGAGGCAGTGATAAACAACCCACTAAAGCTTTACCGCCTAGAGATAGAAATTAAAGATGTGAATGATCATTCTCCGTCGTTCAACACTAAATCACAAATACTGGACATCGCAGAGAACACATTGCCTGGATTTAGATTCGCGTTATCCGAGGCAAGCGATGCTGATGTGGGTAACAACTGCGTTAGTGCATATAAGCTCAGTCCAAATGAATACTTCAGCCTCGCAACACACAAAAGAGGAGACAGTTTATCTCCAGAGTTAGTGCTGCAGAAAGCCTTAGACCGTGAGAAAAGGCCACATATGCAGCTCATGTTAACTGCGGTAGACGGGGGAACTCCACCAAATTCAGGCACATCAGAGATTGAAATAAATGTACTAGATATTAATGATAACGCCCCGGTGTTCAGCAACACTCTTTACAAAGTTAAAACGTTAGAAAATATCCCGATTGGTACGGTGGTGTTCACCTTAAATGCGACCGATGCGGATGAAGGCGCCAATAGTGAAATTGTTTATTCTCTTCGTAATAAGGATCAGGATCATATTCTGGATATTTTTCAAATCGACCCAGACACGGGAATAATTTCTGTGAAAGGCAACATCGACTATGAAGAAAAAAAAGCTTTTGAGATCCGAGCAGAGGCAAGGGACAAAGGGCAGCCTCCTATGTCTGCTCATAGTAAAGTGCTAGTAGAAGTAATTGACGTAAACGACAACGCTCCTGAAATCACTGTGACGTCACTGCTCAATACATTGAATGAGGACGCTGAGTTAGGCACTGCTATTGCACTTGTGTCAGTATTAGATAAAGACAGTGGTAAAAACGGTGAAGTGAAATGCGAAATCTTAAATACAGTCCCGTTCAAACTTGAGACAAATTACAAAAACTATTATTCTTTAGTGGTTGATGGACATTTAGACAGAGAAGTAATTACTAGGTACAATGTAACCATTTCAGCTACAGATGAAGGCAGCCCTCCTCTTTCAAACATCAGTGTTATCACTGTTTATGTTTCTGATGTTAATGACAATGCACCGTACTTCCCGGAAAAGGTGATAAACATTTATGTTAAAGAAAACAGTCCAGTAGGAACAGTAATTAAAACAGTGACGGCAGTTGATGCAGATATCAGTCAAAATGGCCAGGTGAGCTATTCCTTTTTACAAAGTAAAATGGACTCAGTCCCGTTATCTACAATGTTGAACATCAACTCAGAGACTGGAGATATAGTCAGCCTGCAGTCTTTTAACTATGAGGAGTTAAACACGTTTAAGTTTAAAGTCCAGGCCACAGACTCTGGTGTTCCTCCTCTCAGCAGCAACGTGACTGTGAACGTTTTAATTCTGGATGAAAATGACAATAATCCAACAATTCTCGCGCCCTATTCTGAGCACGGCTCCGTTAACAGTGAGAGCATCCCCTATTCTGCTGAGGCGGGATACTTTGTGGCAAAGATCAGGGCTGTAGACGCAGACTCTGGATACAATGCGCTGCTTTCTTATCACCTCTCTGAGCCCAAAGGAAACAACCTCTTCCGGATCGGAACCAGTAGCGGAGAAATCAGGACTAAGAGGAGAATGAGTGACAATGACCTGAAAACTCACCCCTTGGTGGTGTTGGTTTCTGATAACGGAGAGCCCTCCCTGTCAGCTACTGTCTCTATTGATGTTGTGGTGGTTGAAAGCACAGCTGACATCCAGACTCAGTTCAGACATGTGCCCACAAAGGAGGAGAGCTTCTCAGATTTGAACCTGTATCTGCTGATCGCCATTGTGTCGGTGTCAGTGATCTTTCTGCTGAGCCTCATCAGTTTAATAGCTGTCAAATGCCACAGGACAGACGGCAGTTTCAGCAGGTACAGCGCCCCAATGATCACCACCCACCCTGACGGGAGCTGGTCTTACTCTAAATCTACTCAGCAGTACGACGTGTGTTTCAGCTCAGACACTATGAAGAGTGACGTAGTGGTTTTCCCCGGACCGTTTCCTCAAGTAGATGGTGAACTGATCAGTATTAACGGAGGAGACACTTTTACCAGAACTCAGACTTTACCCAATAAAGACAAGGTAAGCCATGGCTAGTTTTAATATTTATCTTAATTTAATATTTACTTTTCGGTAACATCATTTGGAAATATGTTGTAACATGCAGGAATAGCAATATGTTTAAAATTACTATTATCTAAGAATGTGTCCACTCTAACTGATTATCTAAAGCCATACTTAAAACTATTCTATACCATTGTTAAGACCTCTGACACTAATTATATTACTCTGCTTCGAGAAACTTGATTTTTGTTTGTTGGCGGATGATTTAGTGTATATATAATGTATCGACGACGGTTTCTACAATTATAAGAACAATATCAGAACAACAAAGATTACATTTCACTGTTTTACGGTCTATTTGTTACAGTTCTCTGTCGTCACTTGAGGAGGGCACTAAAACTGCTTTAGGTTGCTGTCCGTGTCCGTGGTGCTGATTTTTTATTTTGTCTTTTTCTGTTCTCTGTATTGAGAATGGTGCTGTCCTTTGTGCTGATATATTGAGATGCAGGTTTCGTGGGTGGTTGATTTTCCCTGTCTTAGTTTCAGAATAGAGCCAAATGCTGTGTAATAATATAATCATTAAATAGTATACGATGATCAGTGTTGGGCAAGTTACTTCCAAAATGTAATACAGTACGTATTACTTATTACTGTCTCTTTTAAGAAATAAAATACATTACCATTTCCCACATTTCATTAGTAATGTGTTACATTAACTGCGTTACAGCAAAAAGTAATACATTACTGTAACTCCGTTACTTTTGTAACACGTTACACTCAACACTGACGATGATACATAACCTAACTATTGTGGTAACACTTTATGGTAAGGGTACATGAATCATCATGAATTCATGCATGAAAAAGCATGAATTCATTCATGTAGTACTTCATGAACTATCAGTAATGTATAAGGATGAATAGTATCTCATGCATGACTTAATGCAGGAACACTACCTTAATTAATGCATCAACTAAGGTATAGACAAGGTCTATTTAGGCATCATGTATTTGGCAATATTACAAATGCTAATTAGATCATAATTTTGGACTTAATTTCAATGATCTATTATATAGTTAGGACTTTTTTTTATGTATCTACAGTATTATCTTAAAGCTCACAAACCATTAAAGATAACTCATTCATACTATTAACAAACTTTAATTTATAATCCAAAGCCAACAAGATCACATTTTCACATAATCATGTTGCATAAAAAAGCAGTAAAAGAATTCGGCAAAGACACAAGATTAGGAGGCCTATAGGGAGGACGTGGATTACCACATAACAATTTAAAGTATATGGGATCACACAGCAAGGCTCAATGTGACCATACTTACCTGTACTTACCGTGAAATACAGAGGTTAATAAAAACAATATTTATAGGGACTGTTAGGGAATAATTAGCTTAGGTATTCAATCTTTGACACAGTTCATAATTATTTTATTCATTTTTACCAATATATATTTTCTTTATGTATAGCATTTTAAATTATTTTATCCTTTTTATTCCTCCTTCACTGTATTCCTCAAAACCAGCTGCAGAGAGAAGTCATTTTAAATACTTGTGGCCTGTCCTATGTGGAATCTTTTAATTTATGAACCTGGGTCCTGCTGCTTTTAATAACACTTCATTTTATGACAATTCGTTTCTTATTATTGTGTTTAAATTGTTATGTGGTAATCCACGTTCTCCCTAAAGTAGGTCTCCTAATCTGTGTCTTTGCCGACATTTTTTACTGCTTTCTTATGTGACATGATATGTGAAAATGTGATCTTGTTGGTTTTGGATTATAAAATAAAGTTTGTTAATATTATGAATGAGTTATCTTTAATTGTTTGTGAGCTTTAAGATAATACTGTATGATACATAAAAAAAAGTCCTAACTATATAATTGATAATTGAAATTAAGTCCAAAATTATGATCTAATTAGCATTTGTAATATTGCCAAATACATGATGCCTAAATAGACATAAGGGCTGACTTTATTTGAGGGATCACAAAGATGATTGATGCATGAGCACCAAATGGTTAATAACGGTGATTTCACATAGGCCATTAATCATATGTTATTTATCATTGTAAACGACGGAACAGGTCACCACTTTATTTGAAGGGGCACAAACATGATGAAGTATGCTTAGTTAATCATGATTACAACACTTGGAATTGCTGTGACTGGTCAGTTTTTTGGCCTGTCACTTTAACTGCAGATCTATATGAAGAAGACATGAACATCATTAATAACTCAGAAGTCATGATGATTGAGATACCTTAGTTGATGCATTAATTAAGGTATTGTTCCTGCATTAAGTCATGCATGAGATACTATTAATCCTTGTACATTACTGATAGTTCATGAAGTACTACATGAATGAATTCATGCTTTTTCATGCATTAAGTCATGCATGAATTCATGATGATTAATGTACCCTTACCATAAAGTGTTACCTCTATTGTTAACATACATCTTAAACAGATGCATGTTCAATCATCAACTACTATAGAGCTCAAGTCTTCCAAAATCACCCAATACATTTAAGCATTTTTCTCAGCACACTTTTTCTCATGCATCCTGTTTACTTTACCTTACATTAAACATGTCTACTTATGTTTTGGACGCATTTCCCTATAAAACATTTTCACGAGATGTCGCTAGAGACCATGCTATATTCGTGTGTTCACCGTTTATAAACCCCTCCTCTATTTATGACAAAAAATGAAACGTCATCATCTGTCAGTGCTTTGTGAAAATAGCTTACAGACGAGTAAAGCCCGTAAGAGGAAGAGGACATTAAGCGAGAATGGATATATAAAAAGGCTATATTTGTCACTTTTTTTAAAGAGGACAAAAGGGATAAACCAGGATTTGTTGCTTTTGCCTGAAGAGCGATGGCTACTCGGGAACAATGGGAGAATATATTGGGTCTGTTTTTTACTCTGCTTTGTCTCTGCGACTGGTCCGTGGCTCAGATAGCCTATTCCGTTTCAGAGGAGGTGGACAAAGGGACATCGGTGGGAAATCTCGCTAAGGATTTAGACCTCAATGTGCAGCAGCTTCATTCCACGGGTCTTCAGATTACCTCTGAATATAACAAACGTTATTTTGACATAAATCGTGAATCTGGAGTACTTTTTGTTAGCGAGAGGATTGATCGGGAGGAGCTTTGTTCTAATACGGTAAAGTGCTATTTGAATATAGAGGCCGTATTGAGTAACCCTCGCAGCCTCCATCGAATTGAAGTTGTTATTAATGATATCAACGACAATGCTCCGTCTTTTCTGGAAGAAATAACAACAATTGATATGTCGGAGTCTTCATATGTCGGAGAAAGGCATCCATTGCCGATAGCTCATGACGCAGATGTAGGTGCAAACTCAGTGAAGACGTACAAATTGAACCCGAATGATTATTTCTCTTTAGATATACAGAGCATTGGTGACCAGAGTGTGTCTGCTGAGTTAGTGCTGCAGAAAGCATTAGATCGAGAAAAAGAGGCTGTTATTGAACTCACACTGACAGCGTTTGATGGAGGAAAACCTCCCAAAACGGGCTCTTTACAGATACACGTTAATGTACTGGATGTAAATGACAATTCACCGCTGTTCAGCAAAACTCTTTACAAAGTACAAGTTGTGGAAAATGCAAATGTTGGCACAACGTTATTGACATTGACAGCTACTGATTTCGATGACAGCATAAATGGTCAAATTGTGTACTCTTTCACAGAGGGGGGGCGTTTAAACCTTGATGACATATTTGACCTGAATGATGATACTGGGGAAATTATTGTAAAAGGCAATATTGATTTTGAAGAAAATAAAGCATACGAGATTCGTGTCCAAGCACGAGACAAAGGCAATCCTCCTCGCAGTGCACATAGCAAGGTTTTAGTCGAAGTTATTGATGTCAATGACAATGCTCCGGAAATCTCGGTCTCATCACTTATGAGTCCAGTGAAAGAGGACGCTGAAATAGGCACAGCTGTTGCGATGGTGACTATCACTGATAAAGATGGAGGAAAAAATGGTCTCACAAACCTTAAAATCACAGGTCCTGTGCCATTTAAATTAAAATCTAACTATAAAAATTATTATTCTCTGTTGGTTGACGGGCCTCTGGACAGAGAGATTGTTTCCCAGTTTAATGTATCTATAACAGCCACAGATGAAGGAACTCCCACTCTGTCGAGCACAAGTGTCATTACAGTTCAAGTGTCTGATGTTAATGACAACCCTCCTCGATTCATGGAGCCTCTGATTAATGTTTACGTGAAAGAGAATAGCCCAATAGGAACTACAATTCATGTGCTTACGACATTAGATTCAGACTTAAATGAAAATGCAAAAGCAAGATACAACTTAATAAACAGTTCTCCGAAGACCACACAGATAGCTTCAATGGTTAACATAAACTCGGAGACTGGAGATATAGTCAGCCTGCAGTCTTTTAACTATGAGGAGTTAAACACGTTTCAGTTTAAAGTTCAGGCCACAGACTCTGGTGTTCCTCCTCTCCGCAGCAACGTGACTGTGAACGTTTTAATTCTGGATGAAAATGACAATAATCCAACTATTCTCGCGCCCTATTCTGAACATGGCTCCGTTAACAGTGAGAGCATCCCCTATTCTGCTGAGGCGGGATACTTTGTGGCAAAGATCAGGGCTGTAGACGCAGACTCTGGATACAATGCGCTGCTTTCTTATCACCTCTCTGAACCCAAAGGAAACAACCTCTTCCGGATTGGAACCAGCAGCGGAGAAATCAGGACTAAGAGGAGAATGAGTGACAATGACCTGAAAACTCACCCCTTGGTGGTGTTGGTTTCTGATAACGGAGAACCCTCCTTGTCAGCTACTGTCTCTATTGATGTGGTGGTGGTTGAAAGCACAGCTGACATCCAGACTCAGTTCAGACATGTGCCCATACAGGAGGAGAGCTTCTCTGATTTTAACCTGTATCTGCTGATCGCCATTGTGTCGGTGTCAGTGATCTTTCTGCTGAGCCTCATCAGTTTAATAGCTGTCAAATGCCACAGGACAGACGGCAGTTTCAGCAGGTACAGCGCCCCAATGATCACCACCCACCCTGACGGGAGCTGGTCTTACTCTAAATCTACTCAGCAGTACGACGTGTGTTTCAGCTCAGACACAATGAAGAGTGACGTAGTGGTTTACCCCGGACCGTTTCCGCCTGTAGATGGTGAACTGATCAGTATTAACGGAGGGGACACTTTTACCAGAACTCAGACTTTACCCAACAATGACAAGGTAAGAGCCATACAAAACGGACACTGAAACAATGCCTATTTTGTCTTTATTTTAAAGGTATTTGCATTAAGTGAAGGAAATGTGGTTCCGTTCATCATTTACAATTAGTATTAGAGCTCTGGCAATATAAAACGCTTGATTGCATACATCCACCGTTTTAATGTTTTCAGCTCTCCGTGGTGCTGCTATATAGATTATTTCTGCTCAGGAACTTCGGCACACGCTTGACTTGATGTAGGCCTACGTACTGTGTAGCTTGAACTTGGCTTGTTTACCTACAAAGCAGTTTAATGTTTTAGAATAATATGGGCCTATACACAACAAAATACTAAAGGTTGGTAAAATACAAGCGATTAAATTAAATACTCTGTCAAAAAAGACCAATTTGTGAAACGTGTTTTTACATAAAGTTGTCATTCAGTATTCATTCATTTCATACAGTACATGTTGAGCGTCCTTCTCTAATTAATGTACTCTCCAGGAAGGCTAGTGATCTCTGCTCAGTTATTATAGTTTTGTTTTTGCGAGGAACGAATATAATGCTTCATGGAATCACATCATTAAACATTTCTGGTGTATTCTTATTCTTTTAGAAACCCAATTACTCGTTCGGTGTGTTTGGTAAATAATCCGTTGTGGTCTATCAAAAGACCACAAGATGCCGCTCGAGACCACACAGTCCATTGTGTTTAATGACCAAAAACCCCTCCTTCCGTGTCGGTGAAATAAGATAGAGGCAGTACGTTTCGTAGGGGCTGGGTTATTAAACCACGTCGTCTTGAAATAAGCTCCATGAATAAGCAGAGCTCGGCCGTCTTGTGGATATTTTCCCGTTTTTGTGGATGAATAGGGTTTTTTGCCTGAATTCCTCATCTAAAGAAAAATATGAGTCGTCAACGACATAGAGAGGTCGACTTGATGTTGTGCGCAATTCTTCTTTGTTTATCTGACTGGTCTGCTGCTCAGATTTCCTACTCCGTTTCAGAGGAGGTGGACAAAGGCACAACGGTGGGAAATCTCGCAAAGGATTTAAACATTCACTCGCAGCAACTCGAGGAACGAGGATTTCGGATTGTTTCGGGCTACAGTAAGACCTTTTTCGAGGCAAATTTAAGAACAGGAGCTTTGGTTGTTAACGATAGAATAGACCGTGAAGAGCTTTGTCCGAATCTACCTAAATGTTCCCTTAATATAGAAGGATTATTAAGCAATCCTATGAATATTTATCGCATAGAAGTCACTATACTTGACGTGAATGATAACGCACCATCCTTCCTTGAGCAAACCCATGTGTTTAATATCTCCGAGTCTTCTTCAACGGGAGAGAGATATCCGCTCCCAATAGCTCAGGATGCAGACACAGGCAGTAATTCAGTGAAAACCTACAAGCTAAGTCCGAACGAGCATTTCTCCATAGATGTGAGCAGCGGAGGAGACAGTGTTTCCGCCGAGTTAGTGCTGCAGAAAGCATTAGACCGAGAGAAACAACCAGCCATTAAACTAACATTAACCGCTCTCGACGGAGGAAAACCCATCAGGTCTGGTACCATGCAGATTCTTGTGAATGTGATAGATGTTAATGATAACACGCCTTTGTTTAGCAAGCCGCTTTATAAAGTAAGAGTCAGCGAAAATGCACCCCTCGGTACGACAATATTGAAACTAAATGCGACCGATTTAGACGAAGGTCCACATTCAGATATCAGATATTCTTTAATGAAAAACGGAAACGCAAACTCTGCCGAAAAATTCATTGTTATTCCTGAAAGTGGTGAAATCACTGTGAAGGTTCCTTTGGATTACGAGGAAAGCAATGCGTATGAATTACGAGTACAGGCAACAGATCAGGGTGCTTCCCCTCGCAGTGGTTATTCTAAGGTTCTTGTAGAGGTTGTTGATGTCAACGACAATTCCCCAGAAATCTCTATAACTTCACTGATGAGTCCAGTAAAGGAAAGTGCTGAAATTGGAACAGTTGTTGCATTAGTGACTGTGACTGATAAAGATGGAGGTCAAAATGGCCTTACAAAATGCAAAATTGAAGACACAGTACCTTTTACATTAAAGTCAAATTACAAGAACTATTATTCTTTGACAGTAAACGGTTTTCTTGACAGAGAGATTGTGTCACAGTACAATGTAACCATTACTGCTACAGATGAAGGTAATCCGCCTCTATCAAGCACTGCTATAATCACTGTGCACATTTCGGATATTAATGACAACGCACCACGTTTCCCAGAATCCAATATAAATATTTTTGTAGAGGAGAATAGTAAAGTGGGAGATATTATAACAAGAGCAACTGCACAAGATTCAGATGAAAATGAAAATGCAAAATTGACTTATTCGTTAATTGATAATTATCCCAACATTTTTCCAATTTCAACAGCTGTGAATATAAACTCAGAGACTGGAGATATAGTCAGCCTGCAGTCTTTTAACTATGAGGAGTTAAACACGCTTCAGTTTAAAGTCCAGGCCACAGACTCTGGTGTTCCTCCTCTCAGCAGCAACGTGACTGTGAACGTTTTAATTCTGGATGAAAATGACAATAATCCAACAATTCTCGCGCCCTATTCTGAGCATGGCTCCGTTAACAGTGAGAGCATCCCCTATTCTGCTGAGGCGGGATACTTTGTGGCAAAGATCAGGGCTGTAGACGCAGACTCTGGATACAATGCGCTGCTTTCTTATCACCTCTCTGAGCCCAAAGGAAACAACCTCTTCCGGATTGGAACCAGTAGCGGAGAAATCAGGACTAAGAGGAGAATGAGTGACAATGACCTGAAAACTCACCCCCTGGTGGTGTTGGTTTCTGATAACGGAGAACCCTCCCTGTCAGCTACTGTCTCTATTGATGTGGTGGTGGTTGAAAGCACAGCCGACATCCAGACTCAGTTCAGACATGTGCCCACAAAGGAGGAGAGCTTCTCAGATTTGAACCTGTATCTGCTGATCGCCATTGTGTCGGTGTCAGTGATCTTTCTGCTGAGCCTCATCAGTTTAATAGCTGTCAAATGCCACAGGACAGACGGGAGTTTCAGCAGGTACAGCGCCCCAATGATCACCACCCACCCTGACGGGAGCTGGTCTTACTCTAAATCTACTCAGCAGTACGACGTGTGTTTCAGCTCAGACACAATGAAGAGTGACGTAGTGGTTTACCCAGGACCGTTTCCGCCTGTAGATGGTGAACTGATCAGTATTAACGGAGGAGACACTTTTACCAGAACTCAGACTTTACCCAACACAGACAAGGTACGTGTTCTTCAGCTTTACATGAAGTCCTTTCAGTCTCCATGAGTTACAGACGTTGCTATGCTTTTTAAGTGTCATTGCATACACAAACAGACATCAACTAAAAAGTAATATTCGTACTATCAATTGCATCGAATGTTGACGCAGATTACCTCTGTTCATTAGTATGTTGCAGTTTATAACGAAAATAAATGCCAATGATTTATGCAATGTGGTGATATTTTTGTATCACCTCAGAGGCATAGCACCCATATATTCATATGTTTAATGTTTTAGGGTCCTGAGAAAGCGGTCTCTGAAAACCGATGAGTAAAAAGTCGGAAACACTGGATCCTTGCAGTTTGAAAGCACAGCGCTTTCCGTGGTGCTGATCTTTGTCTATGCAGCCTTTGAAGTCTTGGAGCTCTCTTTCTCTTTATTGTGTTAACTTATCTACAATAAGAGAATAACATGCGTTTGGTTGACAGACTATTTTATAAGCTATTTTATGAAAGGCCCTACAATGAAAATAGTAGTTCTATAGAAACACAGCATGACTGGGTCTCTGAATTACAATTTGGCTATTTAAATGTTCATATTTACATTAGAAAACGTTAATGGATATAGGTTGTCACAAATTACTTTTGATTTCATACACTTAAGGCCAATTGATTGACACATTTACAGTTTTTTTCAGTTGCTAACACACACAAATCTCACATAAAGCCTAATTATTTAAACTCTCACCCAAAGAGCAAAATCTGAGCTCAAATCTCCAAAACTCTACAACACATTTTCAGCTCTGCACCCAATTTGCAATTCAACTTGGCACTTTTTGCAAAACACTGCACACGGTTTTCTAAGTAAGACACAGCAAACTGACATATTCACTTGTTTGCCATTTTCAAAACACTGCCACATGAACCAATCAACAAATACACATGCCAAATGACCGTAAACACAAAACTGCTTTATTGTTGACTCATCAATCAGGATGTAAGCACTACAAAAAGGCTTCATGTAAGACATTTATAAAAACAACAATGGATATATGGACAGCAGCAAGAGGGAGAGGTAGAGGGAGGATAAGAGATAGGGAGGATAAGAGAGAGAGAGGGAGGATGAACTGAAGTCAGTTGAAGAGTTATTTGCAGCATAACGGTTGGAGCTGTATGACCGTCAGGCCTAGAGGTGATGCTTCTTCTGCAGGTTGATGAGGAGCTGTGGTCAGACCCAGCTGGGTGGTAAAATGCTGCCTAAGTATCTTTCTCTCCTCTGTTTTTTCAAAACAGATTTTTATTATTTATTTTTCCTCAAAGTTTTCCTTTCACTTTACTGTATTTCACAGAGGCATCATTTGTGTTTACACAACTGTAACTATGTGTTGTGCAGTAAAAGTTTCACCAATTTGTTTGGGAGAAAAACAAAAAGTATAACAACTGTATATTTGTGTTTCTGCACATATTTTTGTAGACTAGAACAATCTTTTTATGCAGAATTCTCTACATACAGATCACTATAAAAGATGAGTGAGCTTTAGATAACCACAGTGTGTAGTTGGTTGGACAAAGTGTCTTATAAGTGAAGTATGGGCCATTTGGTGCAAAAGTTTGATTTTGGTAAGTGTTTATGTAGCTTTGGGTGCAGTGCTTCCTTTTGCAAGATATATGAGGTGTTTTGCACTTTGGGTGTGTGGTTTTGTGAATTGTGTTTAGTGTGTTGACAAAATGAGCCCTGTTGTCAAAACAGTTGTTTTAGCAATTGAAAAAAACTGTAATGAAACGATATAATATAGTCAGGCACATTATTGGGCTAAATGTTCTTAACACGTTTGTTGAACTATCCGTTTTTTACCACAAGATGTCGCTCAGACCACACATATGATTGTGAGAATAATTGTAAAACTCCTCCCTGCACGGGAAGCCAAAAACGTCATCGGTTATCAGTTTAGAGAGACACTAGGATTGCACGGAGAACAGGACGGCTGCTGAAAAATCGTGTTCATGAGTGCTATATAAACTGTTAACACATGATAAGCGGGATTCCGAGCTTATTGTACAACGATGGGAAACGAGGAATACGCCTGGATTTATGTTGTTGCTCTGCTGTGTCTTTGTGGCCGGTCTGCTTCGCAATTATCTTACTCCATTTCCGAGGAGGTGAACAAAGGCACGGTGTTGGGAAATATTGCAAAGGATTTAAACCTCAAAGTACAGGACCTAGAAACCAGGGATCTACGTATTGTTTCGAGTTACAGTAAGAAATATTTTGACGTGAATTTACGGACCGGGAACCTCTTTGTTGACGAGAGGATAGACAGAGAGGAGCTTTGTCCGAACACGGAACAATGCTCCCTGAGAATACAGGCTGTTTTAAGCAATCCCATGAATGTTCATCGTATTGAGATCAATGTTTTAGACATAAACGATAACTCACCGGAGTTTATTGAACAAACGTATTCGTTGAACATCTCCGAATCAATGTCACCGGGAGAGCGATATCTTCTACCAATAGCAGAAGACGCAGACATAGGCAGCAACACAGTGAAGAGCTACAAGCTGAGCCAAAATGAATATTTCTCTCTTGATGTGCAGAGCAGTGGAGAACACGGTGTGTCTGCTGAGTTAGTCCTGCAGAAAGCTTTAGACAGAGAGAAACAGCCTATAATTACACTTATTCTGAACGCAGTAGATGGAGGAAAACCCACAAGATCCGGTACACTGCACATACATGTCAACGTAATCGATGCGAATGATAACACACCGATTTTTAGTAAATCGCTTTATAAAGTACGCATTCGTGAAAATATTGCACAAGGTACAGTGATAATGAAGTTAAATGCAACGGATTTAGACGAGGGCATGAACAGTAAGATCCTATATTCGTTCATCAAACGAGGAAATATTGATCCATCAAATATTTTTGATTTAAATTCTGAAACAGGAGAAATCACTGTGAAGGGTAGATTAGATTATGAAGAGACTCCTGCTTATGAAGTTAGAGTTCAAGCAAAGGATCAAGGCACTTCTCCTCGTAGTGCTCATGCTAAACTGCTGATAGAAATAATTGATGTGAATGACAATGCACCGGAAATATCTGTGACGTCACTCATGACCCCAGTAAAAGAAGATGCAGAAATGGGCACAATAGTTGCTTTGGTTACAGTAAGTGATAAAGATGGAGGAAACAATGGTGTGACTAACTGTAAGGTAGTGGGATCTGTTCCTTTTAAGCTGAAGTCCAACTACAAAAATGACTATTCATTAGTAGTAGATGGTCCACTGGACAGAGAAAACATTTCTCTTTACAATGTCACAATTACAGCAACAGATGAGGGAAATCCACCTCTGTCCAGTATCAGAGTCATTACTGTTCATGTGTCTGATGTCAATGATAATGCACCTCGATTTATGGAGCCTGTGATTAATGTTTATGTGAGAGAAAATAGTGCAGTAGGCTCTGTTATTCATGCAATACGTGCCTTTGATCCTGATTTAGACAGAAATTCAAAGCTGACTTACAAGTTGTTAGATAGTTCTCCAAAAAATATTCCTATTTCATCCGTTTTAAACATCAACTCAGAGACTGGAGATATAGTCAGCCTGCAGTCTTTTAACTATGAGGAGTTAAACACGTTTCAGTTTAAAGTCCAGGCCACAGACTCTGGTGTTCCTCCTCTCAGCAGCAACGTGACTGTGAACGTTTTAATTCTGGATGAAAATGACAATAATCCAACAGTCCTCGCGCCCTATTCTGAGCATGGCTCCGTTAACAGTGAGAGCATCCCCTATTCTGCCGAGGCGGGATACTTTGTGGCAAAGATCAGGGCTGTAGACGCAGACTCTGGATACAATGCGCTGCTTTCTTATCACCTCTCTGAACCCAAAGAAAACAACCTCTTCCGGATTGGAACCAGTAGCGGAGAAATCAGGACTAAGAGGAGAATGAGTGACAATGACCTGAAAACTCACCCCTTGGTGGTGTTGGTTTCTGATAACGGAGAACCCTCCCTGTCAGCTACTGTCTCTATTGATGTGGTGGTGGTTGAAAGCACAGCTGACATCCAGACTCAGTTCAGACATGTGCCCACAAAGGAGGAGAGCTTCTCTGATTTGAATCTGTATCTGCTGATCGCCATTGTGTCGGTGTCGGTGATCTTCCTGCTGAGCCTCATCAGTTTAATAGCTGTCAAATGCCACAGGACAGACGGCAGTTTCAGCAGGTACAGCGCCCCAATGATCACCACCCACCCTGATGGGAGCTGGTCTTACTCTAAATCTACTCAGCAGTACGACGTGTGTTTCAGCTCAGACACAATGAAGAGTGACGTAGTGGTTTTCCCCGGACCGTTTCCGCCTGTAGATGGTGAACTGATCAGTATTAACGGAGGAGACACTTTTACCAGAACTCAGACTTTACCCAACACAGACAAGGTAGGCAATTGTGTCGTGAATGCTCATGGAACTTGAAATGCTATCATAAAAAATACTGACATTTTATACCTGCTTATGCGTCATAATATTTAGATAAATACAAGCATACATATGTAGAACGCTGTAAAGCATCATGACTAAGACAACAAAATAAAACTATGATTGATTCCAAGTTATTCACGCTTGATAAAATACAACATTTAAAGAAATGTTTCACTTTACGACCCACTTTATGGCTCAAATGTGTTGAAGACCAGTTGCTTACCGACATGCTGTAACACAACTTCTATAGCCTTTTACAATGTGTGCAACTTGTTTTCTATACCTTAAGTCAGGGGTGTCAAACTCAATTTCATCGCGGGCCACATTCGCATAAAGGTTGCACTCAAAGGGCCGGTTGTAACTATATAAATATATAATATATATATAAAATAATGTATTATATTACATTATTGCCTCTGCATTGTATTATTATCAGATAGGATAATAACTTAACTAAATAAGTAAATTAACTACGTCTGAAAGCAGAAGTCCACGGCAAATAATTGCAAGTCTCTTCAGTGCGCATGTCACAAAACGAGATGCATTGTGGGACATGTAGTTTATGGGCAACCTGCTTCTGTAAAGTGGTATGTAACCGTATAATAAACGTATTATATTCTTTGCAAGCTCTTGCGGGGCCACATAAAATGAAGTCGCGGGCCGGATTTGGCCCCCGGGCCTTGAGTTTGAGACCCCTGCCTTAAGTGGTCCCTGCCTGAATACCAATCATCATCATGTCTTCATTATAAACCTTGTGTTTGAAAGTGTGAAAATCTGACTTATAGCCAGTATTTGATGGAGCTATCTGGTGCTGAACCACGTCTATGTGAAAGCAATGTGCAAAACCTGCTGCTTTGATGCCTGTGGAAAGGATGTGATGGTGAAAATATCTAAGCTGTTTTTAAAGAAATCTGAATTTAAAAAGCATTTGACATGCTGCTTTCTCTTTGGTTTTATGTAGCTGGTTTCCCTCTTCTGTGAGGGGATTGAATGTAATGAAAAGGCGCTGTCCTTGGTGCTTGTCTTGATGTTGACAAAATGCGGTCTCTGTATAATTCTGCTGAATCAAACTCCATTCTTCAATTATTTGTTTTCACTTTAAATATAGGACATTTAAAGTATGGCAAACTATAAATTCGAAGTAAATTCCCACTGGACATATTGTAATATTTTGTATTTAAGACCTCAAATAGTACGCTTCTGATTATATTCAGTGCTGTCACCTTCTTAATATAAAAACAGGTGTTTCCATAGTAATAATGATAATTTATATCATTAATAATATATTTGATTATATAGCTGTATGCCAAACTGCATTTCTTGTTATTGCAAACATAAAAATCACCACGTGATGTCGCATGAGACCCATGGACACGCATATGTTTGTGTTTCCCAAACTCCTCCTCCCTGCATGGGAAAAAATGAAATCGTCATCAGCCTTTAGTACACCCGCGGAACGTGCTGTGACGAGAAGGGCAGGGTCGTCCTCTCAACAATTTTTCTTTGGACGCAAATATCTGTCCTTTATGATCGACTGGGTTCAGTTCGTCTAATGAATCAACGATGTATTTTCGACTACAACAGGAATACGTCTGGATACATATTGTTGCTTTTCTTTGTCTTTGTGGCCGGTCGGCTTCGCAATTATCCTACTCCATTTCCGAGGAGGTGAACAAAGGCACCGTGTTGGGAAATATCGCGAAGGATTTAAACCTCAATGTACAGGACCTAGAAACCAGGGATCTACGTATTGTTTCGAGTTACAGTAAGAAATATTTTGAAGTGAATTTGCGGACTGGCAACCTCGTTGTTGACGAGAGGATAGACAGAGAGGAGCTTTGTCCAAATGTGGTCAAATGCTCCATCAAAATACAAGCAGTTCTAAACGATCCAATGACTGCACATCGCATAGAGGTTAATATCTTAGATGCAAACGATAATTCGCCTGCTTTTACTGAAGGAACGTATTATTTTAATATTTCCGAATCATCTTTAACCGGAGAGCGATATCTTCTCCCAATAGCAGTAGACGCAGACATAGGCAGCAACTCGGTAAAGAGCTACAAGCTGAGCCAAAATGCATATTTCTCTCTTGATGTGCAGAGTGGTGGGGAACACGGTGTGTCTGCTGAGTTAGTGCTGCAGAAAGCTTTAGACAGAGAGAAACAGTCGGTAATCAGACTTATCTTGACGGCTGTGGATGGAGGTAAACCTGCAAGATCGGGGTCATTAAACATACACGTTAATGTATTAGATGCCAATGATAATATTCCAGTTTTTAGTAAATCACTTTATAAAGTACGTGTGCATGAAAATGCTGAACATGGAACAGTGGTAATGAAGTTAAATGCAACGGATTTAGACGAGGGCATGAACAGTATGATCCTATATTCGTTCATCAAACGAGGAAATATTGATCCATCAAATATTTTTGATTTAAATTCTGAAACAGGAGAAATCACTGTGAAGGGTAGATTAGATTATGAAGAGACTCCTGCTTATGAAGTTAGAGTTCAAGCAAAGGATCAAGGCTTCTCACCTCGCAGTGCTCATGCTAAACTGCTGATAGAAATAATTGATGTGAATGACAATGCCCCAGAAATATCTGTGACGTCACTCATGACCCCAGTAAAAGAAGATGCAGAAATGGGCACAATAGTTGCTTTGGTTACAGTAAGTGATAAAGATGGAGGAAACAATGGTGTGACTAACTGTAAGGTAGTGGGATCTGTTCCTTTTAAGCTTAAGTCCAACTACAAAAATGACTATTCATTAGTAGTAGATGGACCACTGGACAGAGAAAACATTTCTCTTTACAATGTCACAATTACAGCAACAGATGAGGGAAATCCACCTCTGTCCAGTATCAGAGTCATTACTGTTCATGTGTCTGATGTCAATGATAATACACCTCGATTTATGGAGCCTGTGATTAATGTTTATGTGAGAGAAAATAGTGCAGTAGGCTCTGTTATTCATGCAATACGTGCCTTTGATCCTGATTTAGACAGAAATTCAAAACTGACTTACAAGTTGTTAGATAGTTCTCCAAAAAATATTCCTATTTCATCCGTTTTAAACATCAACACAGAGACTGGAGATATAGTCAGCCTGCAGTCTTTTAACTATGAGGAGTTAAACACGCTTCAGTTTAAAGTCCAGGCCACAGACTCTGGTGTTCCTCCTCTCAGCAGCAACGTGACTGTGAACGTTTTAATTCTGGATGAAAATGACAATAATCCAACAATTCTCGCGCCCTATTCTGAGCATGGCTCCGTTAACAGTGAGAGCATCCCCTATTCTGCTGAGGCGGGATACTTTGTGGCAAAGATCAGGGCTGTAGACGCAGACTCTGGATACAATGCGCTGCTTTCTTATCACCTCTCTGAGCCCAAAGGAAACAACCTCTTCCGGATTGGAACCAGTAGCGGAGAAATCAGGACTAAGAGGAGAATGAGTGACAATGACCTGAAAACTCACCCCTTGGTGGTGTTGGTTTCTGATAACGGAGAACCCTCCCTGTCAGCTACTGTCTCTATTGATGTGGTGGTGGTTGAAAGCACAGCTGACATCCAGACTCAGTTCAGACATGTGCCCACAAAGGAGGAGAGCTTCTCAGATTTTAACCTGTATCTGCTGATCGCCATTGTGTCGGTGTCAGTGATCTTTCTGCTGAGCCTCATCAGTTTAATAGCTGTCAAATGCCACAGGACAGACGGCAGTTTCAGCAGGCACAGCGCCCCAATGATCACCACCCACCCTGACGGGAGCTGGTCTTACTCTAAATCTACTCAGCAGTACGACGTGTGTTTCAGCTCAGACACAATGAAGAGTGACGTAGTGGTTTACCCCGGACCGTTTCCGCCTGTAGATGGTGAACTGATCAGTATTAACGGAGGAGACACTTTTACCAGAACTCAGACTTTACCCAACACAGACAAGGTACGTGTTCTTCAGCTTTACATGAAGTCCTTTCAGTCTCCATGAGTTACAGACGTTGCTATGCTTTTTAAGTGTCATTGCATACACAAACAGAAATCAACTAAAAAGTAATATTCGTACTATCAATTGCATCGAATGTTGACGCAGATTACCTCTGTTCATTTGTATGTTGCAGTTTATAACGAAAATAAATGCCAATGATTTATGCAATGTGGTGATATTTTTGTATCACCTCAGAGGCATAGCACCCATATATTCATATGTTTAATGTTTTATGGTCCTGAGAAAGCGGTCTCTGAAAACCGATGAGTAAAAAGTCGGAAACACTGGATCCTTGCAGTTTGAAAGCACAGCGCTTTCCGTGGTGCTGATCTTTGTCTATGCAGCCTTTGAAGTCTTGGAGCTCTCTTTCTCTTTATTGTGTTAACTTATCTACAATAAGAGAATAACATGCGTTTGGTTGACAGACTATTTTATAAGCTATTTTATGAAAGGCCCTAAAATGAAAATAGTAGTTTTATAGAAACACAGCATGACTGGGTCTCTGAATTACAATTTGGCTATTTAAATGTTCATATTTACATTAGAAAACGTTAATGGATATAGGTTGTCACAAATTACTTTTGATTTCATACACTTAAGGCCAATTGATTGACACATTTACAGTGTTTTTCAGTTGCTAACACACACACATCTCACATAAAGCCTAATTATTTAAACTCTCACCCAAAGAGCAAAATCTGAGCTCAAATCTCCAAAACTCTACAACACATTTTCAGCTCTGCACCCAATTTGCAATTCAACTTGGCACTTTTTGCAAAACACTGCACACGGTTTTCTAAGTAAGACACAGCAAACTGACATATTCACTTGTTTGCCATTTTCAAAACACTGCCACATGAACCAATCAACAAATACACATGCCAAATGACCGTAAACACAAAACTGCTTTATTGTTGACTCATCAATCAGAATATAAGCACTAGAAAAAGGCTTCATGTAAGACATTTATAAAGACAACAATGGATATATGGACAGCAGCAAGAGGGAGAGGTAGAGGGAGGATAAGAGATAGGGAGGATAAGAGAGAGAGAGGGAGGATGAACTGAAGTCAGTTGAAGAGTTATTTGCAGCATAACGGTTGGAGCTGTATGACCGTCAGGCCTACAGGTGATGCTTCTTCTGCAGGTTGATGAGGAGCTGTGGTCAGACCAAGTGAGGTGGTAAAATGCTGCCAAAGTATTTTTCTCTCCTCTGTTTTTTCAAAAAATATGTTTATTATTTATTTGTCCTCAAAGTTTTCCTTTCACTTTACTGTATTTGACAGAGGCATCATATGTGTTTACACAACTGTAACTATGTGTTGTGCAGTAAAAGTTTCACCAATTTGTTTGGGAGAAAAACAAAAAGTATAACAACTGTATATTTGTGTTTCTGCACATATTTTTGTAGACTAGAACAATCTTTTTATGCAGAATTCTCTACATACAGATCACTATAAAAGATGAGTGAGCTTTAGATAACCACAGTGTGTAGTTGGTTGGACAAAGTGTCTTATAAGTGACGTGTGGGCCATTTGGTGCAAAAGTTTGATTTTGGTAAGTGTTTATGTAGTTTTGGGTGCAGTGCTTCATTTAGCAAGATATATGAGGTGTTTTGCACTTTGGGTGTGTGGTTTTGTGAATTGTGTTTAGTGTGTTGACAAAATGAGCCCTGTTGTCAAAACAGTTGTTTTAGCAAATGAAAAAAACTGTAATGAAACGATATAATATAGTAAGGCACATTATTGGGCTAAATGTTCTTAACACGTTTGTTGAACTATCCGTTTTTTACCACAAGATGTCGCTCAGACCACACATATGATTGTGAGAATAATTGTAAAACTCCTCCCTGCACGGGAAGCCAAAAACGTCATCGGTTATCAGTTTAGAGAGACACTAGGATTGCACGGAGAACAGGACTGCTGCTGAAAAATCGTGTTCATGAGTGCTATATAAACTGTTAACTCATGATAAGCGGGATTCCGAGCTTATTGTACAACGATGGGAAACGAGGAATACGCCTGGATTCATATTGTTGCTCTGCTGTGTCTTTGTGGCCGGTCTGCTTCGCAATTATCTTACTCCATTTCCGAGGAGGTGAACAAAGGCACGGTGTTGGGAAATATTGCAAAGGATTTAAACCTCAATGTACAGGACCTAGAAACCAGGGATCTACGTATTGTTTCGAGTTACAGTAAGACATATTTTGACGTGAATTTACGGACCGGGAACCTCTTTGTTGACGAGAGGATAGACAGAGAGGAGCTTTGTCCGAACACGGAACAATGCTCCCTGAGAATACAGGCTGTTTTAAGCAATCCCATGAATGTTCATCGTATTGAGATCAATGTTTTAGACATAAACGATAATTCACCGGAGTTCATTGAGCAAACGTTTTCGTTAAACATCTCCGAATCAATGTCACCGGGAGAGCGATATCTTCTACCTATTGCAGAGGACGCAGACACAGGCAGCAACACAGTGAAGAGCTACAAGCTGAGCCAAAATGAATATTTCTCTCTTGATGTGCAAACCGCTGGAGAAGATGGTGTGTCTGCCGAGTTAGTGCTGCAGAAAGCTATAGACAGAGAGAAAAAGCCTGTAATTAATCTTCTCCTCACCGCTGTAGATGGAGGAAAACCTACAAGATCCGGTACACTGCACATAAATGTCAACGTAATGGATGCGAATGATAACACACCGATTTTTAGTAAATCGCTTTATAAAGTAAGCGTACGTGAAAATACTGCACAGGGTACAGTGGTAATGAAGTTAAATGCAACGGATTTAGACGAGGGCATGAACAGTAAGATCCTGTATTCTTTAATAAAACGAGGAAATACTGATCCATCAAATATATTTGATTTAAATTCTGAAACAGGAGAAATCACTGTGAAGGGTAGATTAGATTACGAAGAGACTCCTGCTTATGAAGTTAGAGTTCAAGCAAAGGATCAAGGCACTTCTCCTCGTAGTGCTCATGCTAAACTGCTGATAGAAATAATTGATGTGAATGACAATGCCCCAGAAATATCTGTGACGTCACTCATGACCCCAGTAAAAGAAGATGCAGAAATGGGCACAATAGTTGCTTTGGTTACAGTAAGTGATAAAGATGGAGGAAGCAATGGTGTGACTAACTGTAAGGTAGTGGGATCTGTTCCTTTTAAGCTGAAGTCCAACTACAAAAATGACTATTCATTAGTAGTAGATGGTCCACTGGACAGAGAAAACATTTCTCTTTACAATGTCACAATTACAGCAACAGATGAGGGAAATCCACCTCTGTCCAGTATCAGAGTCATTACTGTTCATGTGTCTGATGTCAATGATAATGCACCTCGATTTATGGAGCCTGTGATTAATGTTTATGTGAAAGAAAATAGTGCAGTAGGCTCTGTTATTCATGCAATACGTGCCTTTGATCCTGATTTAGACAGAAATTCAAAACTGACTTACAAGTTGTTAGATAGTTCCCCAAAAGATATTCCTATTTCATCCGTTTTAAATATCAACTCAGAGACCGGAGATATAGTCAGCCTGAAGTCTTTTAACTATGAGGAGTTAAACACGTTTCAGTTTAAAGTCCAGGCCACAGACTCTGGTGTTCCTCCTCTCCGCAGCAACGTGACTGTGAACGTTTTAATTCTGGATGAAAATGACAATAATCCAACAGTCCTCGCGCCCTATTCTGAGCACAGCTCCGTTAACAGTGAGAGCATCCCCTATTCTGCTGAGGCGGGATACTTTGTGGCAAAGATCAGGGCTGTAGACGCAGACTCTGGATACAATGCGCTGCTTTCTTATCACCTCTCTGAGCCCAAAGGAAACAACCTCTTCCGGATCGGAACCAGCAGCGGAGAAATCAGGACTAAGAGGAGAATGAGTGACAATGACCTGAAAACTCACCCCTTGGTGGTGCTGGTTTCTGATAATGGAGAACCCTCCCTGTCAGCTACTGTCTCTATTGATGTGGTGGTGGTTGAAAGCACAGCTGACATCCAGACTCAGTTCAGACATGTGCCCATAAAGGAGGAGAGCTTCTCAGATTTGAACCTGTATCTGCTGATCGCCATTGTGTCGGTGTCAGTGATCTTTCTGCTGAGCCTCATCAGTTTAATAGCTGTCAAATGCCACAGGACAGACGGCAGTTTCAGCAGGTACAGCGCCCCAATGATCACCACCCACCCTGACGGGAGCTGGTCTTACTCTAAATCTACTCAGCAGTACGACGTGTGTTTCAGCTCAGACACAATGAAGAGTGACGTAGTGGTTTTCCCCGGACCGTTTCCGCCTGTAGATGGTGAACTGATCAGTATTAACGGAGGGGACACTTTTACCAGAACTCAGACTTTACCCAACAATGACAAGGTAGGCAATTGTGTGCTGAATGCTCATGGAACTTGAAATGCTATCATAAAAAATACTGACATTTTATACCTGCTCATGCGTCATAATATTTACAATATTTAGATAAATAAAAGCATACATATGTAGAACGCTGTAAAGCATCATGACTAAGACAACAAAATAAAACTATGATTGATTCCAAGTTATTCACGCTTGATAAAATACAACATTTAAAGAAATGTTTCACTTTACGACCCACTTTATGGCTAAAATGTGTTGAAGACCAGTTGCTTACCGACATGCTGTAACACAACTTCTAGCCCTTTTACAATGTGTGCAACTTTTTTTCTATACCTTAAGTGGTCCCTGCCTGAATACCAATCATCATCATGTCTTCAGTAAAGCTTGTGTTTGAAAGTGTGAAAATCTGACTTCTAGCCAGTATTTGATGGAGCTATCTGGTGCTGAACCACGTCTATGTGAAAGCAATGTGCAAAACCTGCTGCTTTGATGCCTGTGGAAAGGATGTGATGGTGAAAATATCGAAGCTGTTTTTAAAGAAATCTGAATTTAAAAAGCATTTGACATGCTGCTTTCTCTTTGGTTTTATGTCGCTGGTTTCCCTCTTCTGTGAGGGGATTGAATGTAATGAAAATGCGCTGTCCATGGTGCTTGTCTTGATGTTGACAAAATGCGGTGTCTGTATAATTCTGCTGAATCAAACTCCATTCTTCAATTATTTGTTTTCACTTTAAATATAGGACATTTAAAGTATATGACAAACTATAAATTCGAAGTAAATTCCCACTGGACATATTGTAATATTTTGTATTTAAGACCTCAAATAGTACGCTTCTGATTATATTCAGTGCTGTCACCTTCTTAATATAAAAACAGGTGTTTCCATAGTAATAATGATAATTTATATCATTAATAATATATTTGATTATATAGCTGTATGCCAAACTGCATTTCTTGTTATTGCAAACATAAAAATCACCACGTGATGTCGCATGAGACCCATGGACACGCATATGTTTGTGTTTCCCAAACTCCTCCTCCCTGCATGGGAAAAAATGAAATCGTCATCAGCCTTTAGTACACCCGCGGAACGTGCTGTGACGAGAAGGGCAGGGTCGTCCTCTCAACAATATTTCTTTGGACGCAAATATCTGTCCTTTATGATCGACTGGGTTCAGTTCGTCTAATGAATCAACGATGTATTTTCGACTACAACAGGAATACGTCTGGATACATATTGTTGCTTTTCTTTGTCTTTGTGGCCGGTCGGCTTCGCAATTATCCTACTCCATTTCCGAGGAGGTGAACAAAGGCACCGTGTTGGGAAATATCGCGAAGGATTTAAACCTCAATGTACAGGACCTAGAAACCAGGGATCTACGTATTGTTTCGAGTTACAGTAAGAAATATTTTGAAGTGAATTTGCGGACCGGCAACCTCGTTGTTGGCGAGAGGGTAGACAGAGAGGAGCTTTGTCCAAATGTGGTAAAATGCTCCATCAAAATACAAGCAGTTCTAAACGATCCAATGACTGCACACCGCATAGAGGTTAATATCTTAGATGCAAACGATAATTCGCCTGCTTTTTCTGAAGGAACGTATTATTTTAATATTTCCGAATCATCTTTAACCGGAGAGCGATATCTTCTCCCAATAGCAGTAGACGCAGACATAGGCAGCAACTCGGTAAAGAGCTACAAGCTGAGCCAAAATGCATATTTCTCTCTTGATGTGCAGAGCGGTGGAGAACACGGTGTGTCTGCTGAGTTAGTCCTGCAGAAAGCTTTAGACAGAGAGAAACAGTCGGTAATCAGACTGATATTGACGGCTGTGGATGGAGGTAAACCTGCAAGATCGGGGTCATTAAACATACACGTTAATGTATTAGATGTCAATGATAATATTCCAGTTTTTAGTAAATCACTTTATAAAGTACGTGTGCATGAAAATGCTGAACATGGAACAGTGGTAATTAAGTTAAATGCAACGGATTTAGACGAGGGCATGAACAGTAAGATCCTATATTCGTTCATCAATCGAGGAAATATTGATCCATCAAATATTTTCGATTTAAATTCTGAAACAGGAGAAATCACTGTTAAGGGTAGATTAGATTATGAAGAGACTCCTGCTTATGAAGTTAGAGTTCAAGCAAAGGATCAAGGCATCTCACCTCGCAGTGCTCATGCTAAACTGCTGATAGAAATAATTGATGTGAATGACAATGCCCCGGAAATATCTGTGACGTCACTCATGACCCCAGTAAAAGAAGATGCAGAAATGGGCACAATAGTTGCTTTGGTTACAGTAAGTGATAAAGATGGAGGAAACAATGGTGTGACTAACTGTAAGGTAGTGGGATCTGTTCCTTTTAAGCTGAAGTCCAACTACAAAAATGACTATTCATTAGTAGTAGATGGACCACTGGACAGAGAAAACATTTCTCTTTACAATGTCACAATTACAGCAACAGATGAGGGAAATCCACCTCTGTCCAGTATCAGAGTCATTACTGTTCATGTGTCTGATGTCAATGATAATGCACCTCGATTTATGGAGCCTGTGATTAATGTTTATGTGAGAGAAAATAGTGCAGTAGGCTCTGTTATTCATGCAATACGTGCCTTTGATCCTGATTTAGACAGAAATTCAAAGCTGACTTATAAGTTGTTAGATAGTTCCCCAAAAAATATTCCTATTTCATCCGTTTTAAACATCAACTCAGAGACCGGAGATATAGTCAGCCTGCAGTCTTTTAACTATGAGGAGTTAAACACGTTTCAGTTTAAAGTCCAGGCCACAGACTCTGGTGTTCCTCCTCTCAGCAGCAACGTGACTGTGAACGTTTTAATTCTGGATGAAAATGACAATAATCCAACAGTCCTCGCGCCCTATTCTGAACATGGCTCCGTTAACAGTGAGAGCATCCCCTATTCTGCTGAGGCGGGATACTTTGTGGCAAAGATCAGGGCTGTAGACGCAGACTCTGGATACAATGCGCTGCTTTCTTATCACCTCTCTGAGCCCAAAGGAAACAACCTCTTCCGGATTGGAACCAGTAGCGGAGAAATCAGGACTAAGAGGAGAATGAGTGACAATGACCTGAAAACTCACCCCTTGGTGGTGTTGGTTTCTGATAACGGAGAACCCTCCCTGTCAGCTACTGTCTCTATTGATGTGGTGGTGGTTGAAAGCACAGCTGACATCCAGACTCAGTTCAGACATGTGCCCACAAAGGAGGAGAGCTTCTCAGATTTGAACCTGTATCTGCTGATCGCCATTGTGTCGGTGTCGGTGATCTTCCTGCTGAGCCTCATCAGTTTAATAGCTGTCAAATGCCACAGGACAGACGGCAGTTTCAGCAGGTACAGCGCCCCAATGATCACCACCCACCCTGACGGGAGCTGGTCTTACTCTAAATCTACTCAGCAGTACGACGTGTGTTTCAGCTCAGACACAATGAAGAGTGACGTAGTGGTTTACCCCGGACCGTTTCCGCCTGTAGATGGTGAACTGATCAGTATAAACGGAGGAGACACTTTTACCAGAACTCAGACTTTACCCAACAATGACAAGGTGAGTTGTTTGCAGTCTCAATCCTTTTTCCTTGCTTTCAGAGACTTGACTTGCAAACATAACAGACATTTAGAGATGTCCCATTCAACAAAACAGTACATCATTTGCATTTTAAGTGATAGCAGGCTTGTAATTAGTTGTTAAACAGAGGAAATGTCATTCATGTAGATTTGGAGAGCGCTTTCCATGGTTCTGAAACAAACTGGTACCTCCCTCGTCCTCTTTGGCTCACTGTCCAAACCCTCTGAAGTTAACTAAGCCATCATCCATGGTTCCAATTATCAGGCTGTTAATTCACAAGTTATTTATGCTTATATATCAAGTTGTCCTTTTCATGCTGAACTGTTTTCAAAGAGTTAACTGGCCGTAGTGTTTACGTGTGTTGTTAACCTGTCGATATGGAAACTATTCTTGGTGTCATTATGTTTTTTTAAAAACATTTACTCCTATTTCCGAGAATGTTGTCACTGGCAGTAATTTGTCAACTTTAATTTGATATTTTTCTCTTTACTCAACTGGTACAAAGCAGACCTTTGGTCACCTTTTAGTCCACTTAAAAACTAAAGGTATAATATATTTCACGTGTTGTAATATGAGACATACGGGGTGCTAATTCATTCTTAAAATTCTATTCTGAATTGTAACACGTGGGGTCGCCGATGACCACAGTTTTTTTTCTGAGCTCGGTGTTTTCAGTCTCCTCCTTCCCGTGTGAAGCATCAGCAGACTGCGAGTGCTTTGTGAGAGAAACACGAGTGGCGAAGAAGAGGATAGGACTGGAGTAGATGGGAATACAATGCTGGCTAATCACGAAGCTTTTTATGGATAAATATTATCTGTATCACGGAACTATCTTTGAAAGCAACGATGGGCATCGGAAGGAATAACGGATTACTCTGTTGGCTGTTTGTCTTGTTTTTGTCGGACTGGTCTGCTGCTCAGACATCCTACACTGTTTCCGAGGAGGTGGACAAAGGGACTGTAGTGGGGAATCTCGCAAAGGATTTAAACGTCAACTTCCGAGAGCTGCAAACAAGGAATCTAAATATCGTGTCTGGGTACAGTAAGAAATATTTCGAGGCCAATTTTAAAACGGGGGATCTTATTGTTAATGAGCGAATAGACCGCGAGGAGCTTTGTCCAAACACGATGAAATGCACGCTCAATTTAGAGGCTATTCTTAGTAATCCTATGGTGCTTCATCGCATTGAGGTGGTTATTGTTGATTTAAATGACAACACACCGACATTTGTCGAGAAGTCATATTCACTTAACATATCCGAATTATCTCCAACGGGCGAACGCTTCTTGCTTCCCCTGGCTATCGATGCAGATACCGGAGGCAATTCAGTGAAGTCTTACAGGCTCAATCAAAATGAATACTTCTCCTTAGATGTGCAGAGCGGTGGAGAACATAGTGCATCTGCTGAATTAGTGCTACTGAAAGCTTTGGATCGTGAAAAACAAGCTGTTATTAAACTAACGCTGACTGCTATAGATGGAGGAAAGCCTCCTAAAACCGGAATCCTATACATACATGTAAATGTTCTCGACGTAAATGATAACACGCCGTCATTCAGTAAAACACTTTACAAGGCACGGGTTAAGGAAAATGCTCAAGCTGGGTCACTAGTTATTCAACTGAGTGCCACAGATTTAGACGAAGGGGACAACGGGAGGCTTGGTTATTATTTTGTCAAACGTGGAAACTTTAATCCTGCAGATATGTTCAACATTAACGCACAGTCTGGAGAGATCACAGTCAAAGATATTTTGGATTTCGAGGCTCAGTCAGCATATGAAATACATGTTCAAGCGAAAGATCAGGGTTTTTTGCCTCGTAGTGCAAGTGGAAAGCTGCTGGTGGAGGTAGTCGATGTAAATGACAATGCCCCGGAAATTGTGGTGACGTCACTCATGAATCCCGTTAGAGAAGATGCTGCAATAGGAAGCGTTGTCGCTTTAGTAACGGTAACAGATCAAGATGGAGGAAAAAACGGTCAGACACACTGTAGACTTATTGGTTCTGCACCTTTCAAACTGACTTCCAATTATAAAAATTATTATTCTTTAGTTGTCGATGGAGCTCTTGATAGAGAAGGGTGCTCTTTTTACAATGTAACGATCAAAGCTGCTGATGAAGGGACCCCTCCACTATCCAGCATCAGCGTTATTACTGTTCAGGTTTCTGATGTAAATGATAATGCACCTGGTTTCATTGAACCCGTGATTAATATTTATGTAAAAGAGAATAGTCCAGTTGGAGTTTGTATCTATAAGATAACTGCAGTCGATCCTGACGTAAACGAGAACGCGAGAGTAACATACTCTTTAGATGGTGATTCAAAAAGTATTCCGATAACTTCAGCTGTAAATATCAACTCGGAGACTGGAGATATAATAACCTTGCAGTCTTTTAACTATGAAGAGTTAAAAACGTTTCAGTTTAAAGTGCAGGCCACAGACTCTGGTGTTCCTCCTCTCAGCAGCAACGTGACTGTGAACGTTTTAATTCTGGATGAAAATGACAATAATCCAACAATTCTCGCGCCCTATTCTGAGCATGGCTCCGTTAACAGTGAGAGCATCCCCTATTCTGCTGAGGCGGGATACTTTGTGGCAAAGATCAGGGCTGTAGACGCAGACTCTGGATACAATGCGCTGCTTTCTTATCACCTCTCTGAGCCCAAAGGAAATAACCTCTTCCGGATTGGAACCAGCAGCGGAGAAATCAGGACTAAGAGGAGAATGAGTGACAATGACCTGAAAACTCACCCCTTGGTGGTGTTGGTTTCTGATAACGGAGAGCCCTCCCTGTCAGCTACTGTCTCTATTGATGTGGTGGTGGTTGAAAGCACAGCTGACATCCAGACCCAGTTCAGACATGTGCCCATAAAGGAGGAGAGCTTCTCTGATTTTAACCTGTATCTGCTGATCGCCATTGTGTCGGTGTCAGTGATCTTTCTGCTGAGCCTCATCAGTTTAATAGCTGTCAAATGCCACAGGACAGACAGCAGTTTCAGCAGGTACAGCGCCCCAATGATCACCACCCACCCTGACGGGAGCTGGTCTTACTCTAAATCTACTCAGCAGTACGACGTGTGTTTCAGCTCAGACACAATGAAGAGTGACGTATTGGTTTACCCCGGACCGTTTCCGCCTGTAGATGGTGAACTGATCAGTATTAACGGAGGAGACACTTTTACCAGAACTCAGACTTTACCCAACCAAGACAAGGTAGGCAATCTTGTGCTGAATGCTAGAGGAACTTCACAATGCTATCATGCAAAATACTGAAATGTTATACCTGTTTATACATCATAATATTTACAATATTTAGATAAATAAAAAGGTGAGTTGTTTGAACCCAAGACTAGATTTAGTTCTGATTATTCATTACATTTCCGAAAGACGTGTTATGAGATTACCAGATTTTCGATTATTGCAACATTTGCTGACTTTCTGTGAAAAATGATGTGAAACAAAATAGTTATTGTGGGGGATATACAGTTAAATCATCAATTTTACCTGCACGATTTCTATGTTGAATTCTCTTTACAGTTGCTGAATAATAGCATTTTAGGCAGAGAGGTGAAGTCTTTGTTGGTTGTTCTGTCATTCTGGTGACGAGCAGTGACGCTGTCTATGGTGCTGAACCCTGCATGGTGTTTTTGCGGTTACTTGTTATGCCAGGCCCTGGTAACATACAACTGCGTTTTTTTTTAAATAGATTTTATATATAGTGTTCTAATGAAAATAATTTTTTCAGGGCACCATTTAGGCTTTATTTTATTTATTTTATTTTGTTCTACTAACCTTTTATGCGCTTAACTTGTTTGTATTACCATATTTTAATCAATATGTTCCTTAGATAACTTTTTATTTGATTGTATTTTTTTTATACCTTGAGATGACGTTGTTTTTATAGTGTGCTATATAAATAAAATGCATTATTATTATTATTTATTATAGAATGTTCGTGTCTGAATATTTTAGCACCAAAATGTCAGTTGGTGTCGCTCGAGACCGCAGTATTTTTGTGGCTAATATTTTTTCACAGACTCCTCCTCTTCTTATGAAGCTTCAGTAGTCCACCAGTGCTTAGTCAGACAATACGCTCATGGTTACAGGACAACTGGGGGCTTCGTATGTTATTCTCCTAAAGCGCGTGGAGGTGTTCGGAATGTATTCTTTATTTTATTCTGTGGCAGCAATGGGACGGGAAGGACTAACAGTGACTATTTGGATACAGATAATAGCTTTGCTTTGTTCGTGTGAACGGTCTGCAGCGCAGCTGTCTTTCTCCGTTTCCGAGGAGGTCGACAAAGGAACAGTAGTGGGAAATCTCGCCAAGGAATTACAGATTAATGTTCACGATTTGGAAAAACGGGATTTACGAGTTGTGTCTGGGAATATCAAGAAATATTTCGACGTGGATTTAAAAACTGGTGCTCTTTATGTCTGCGATAGGATTGATCGTGAAGAGCTCTGTCCAAATACGGCAAAATGTTCCCTGAATATAGAAGCCATTCTGAGCACCCCAATGCATTTGCATCGCATCGAGGTACAAATCATTGATACTAATGATAATGCACCATCTTTTCGAGAAAAAGAAAAGATTTTCAATATTTCGGAATCTTCTTCAACCGGGGAGAGATATTTACTCCCAGTGGCAAATGACGCAGACACCGGTAGTAACTCGGTAAAGAGCTACAAGCTGAGTCCTAATGAGTATTTCTCACTGGACGTACAGAGCGGCGGACAGCACAGTGAGTCAGCCGAACTTGTGCTACAGAAATCTTTAGACAGAGAGAAACAGGCTGTTATATACCTTACTTTAACTGCTCTGGACGAAGGAAAACCTGCACGCTCAGGGACCTTAAAAATAGTGATGCATGTAATGGATATAAACGACAATGCTCCGATATTTAGTAAACCTCTCTATAAGGCTCAGGTGACTGAAAATGCTCCATTTCAGACATCCATACTGACTGTAACTGCAACAGATTTAGATGAGGGAATAAATGGTGAGATTATGTATTCATTTATTGAGAGGGGGAATTTCAATCCTGAAGTTTTATTCTCAATAAACCCAGACACAGGAGAAATAACAGTTAAGGGAAAAGTCGATTATGAAGAGAATACAGCATATGATATTCGCGTACAGGCGAGAGATAAAGGTACGCCTTCTAGAAGCGTGCATGGTAAAGTGTTAGTGGAAGTTACTGATGTTAATGACAATGTACCTGACATTATTATAACCTCTCTTATGAGCCCAGTTAAAGAGGATGCTGAGGTGGGTACAGTGGTGGCTTTAGTGACAGTCACTGATAAAGATGGAGGTAATAACGGTCTCACCAATGCTAAAATCATTGGGTCAGTGCCTTTTAAACTCAAGCTTAACTATAAAAATTATTATTCATTGACAGTCGATGGACTTCTTGATAGAGAGATTGTTTCTCAATATAATGTCACGATCATAGCCACTGATGAAGGCAATCCACCTCTCTTCAGCACCAGTGTTATTCCTGTTCACATTTCTGATGTGAATGACAATGCCCCATTATTCTCAGAGCCTGTGATTAATGTATATGTGACTGAGAATAGTCCAGTGGGAGCTACTATCTTTACTATAACAGCAGTTGATCATGATTTAGGAGAAAATGCGAAAGTAACATATTCATTATTAGATGGCACGACAACAACTATTTTACTAGCTTCTGTAGTAAACATCAACTCAGACT